ACATCCCTAATACAAAGTAGTTTGTCTGTAAGAAAAAAAAGCCTGTTCTTTTTTTTCTTGGAAAGGAATTCCATTTGCAATGAAATGAGTTTCTGTAATTTCAAAATGTACAAAGGCCACTACAAAGTGAAAACAAGGTTTCTTTCCACAGGAGACTCAGCAAAGGGAAAGGCAGGTCTAAATGCCCACTGACCACTTTTCCCATCTAGTTTTGACAAGGCAAAACCAGAGACCTTGGACACAGGGGTCTGTCTGGGTGGTGTCTCGGGCTGATGCAGGACTAGATCCACCTCTCCACAACCTCCACCAGCATCTGAGAGATTTGAGTGTGCCTACACATACACATGTGGACAGCAATCCCTACGTGCCCACCTGCCCCACAATGCTGTGGCCGCATCCAACTCAGTGCCCTTGATCTGGTTCCTGCCCTGGAGCTCTTGCATCCTGTGAGCCCTTTCACAGGACTGGTGAGCGAGGCCACTGCTGGAGTTGACACTTACTCCAGCCATGACACCAAGGGGAGCAATCCTGACACTGCTTTAACGTACTTTTCACTCAATATTTCCATGTCGAGTCTCATTAGCTCAACCAGAAAAAGGACACCGTTTTTGATCCTTTCAGATCTTTTTGTTTCTCACACTGCAGTAATGTGTGCCTGTGATAGGAGCAGGTCTGAGGGACCACAGGGCTCCACGGCTGGTGTCCCCGGCCTCACATCACCCCTGAGCACTCTGCCTCCAGCACGAAGCAGCTCTAGCCAGAGCTCAGGATATGTGCCCAGTGCCTGTGTCAGTGCAAGCCACCTGATCTGACTCTGCCTGACAATGCCCATACAGTACCATCACTTGTGTGCCCAGTAAGACACTAAAGGGCATGTTAGCCAAGAGCTGTTGGCCCTCTAACATTAAGCAATGAATCCAGAAGAAAAAGCAGGTTTTTCCAGAGTTTGCCGGGACAGAGTCATAGGGTGGATCAGCTTAGTGCTGTGCTACTTGTTTTGTCTGTGGACTCATATTTCCCAGTGGCAAATATATGCAGGAAAGAGCACAGCACCAGGGAGGACACTCAGTCATAGCTGTGTTGGAGCCAATAACATCTACACAAGTTGACTCCACCATGGCTCTTAAAGCTATGTGTACCTGTGGCTAGAAATAAGCAAGACCATAACGTGGCTTCCTCTCTCCTCCATGCTGAAGGACATGTAAAATAGGTAAATTAAAGAAAATAAGAATACACATACAACCCCATCAGCTAAGCGTGGCAGAGCATTTATTAAAACCCAGCAACTGCTAAGACTTGGCATAGCAAGCTCACCACACTACCCTCACCCCTTGCTCTGCCCTCTCCCACTGCACTGCCCTCACACCACAGCACCAAGAGAACTCAGCCACAGGGAGCCAAAGGGGGGTGATGGCTTGTAAGCACTCCACTGTTGTGAGTTCTATGGACTGGTCAGAAAAGACTTCTTCCAAAAGATGCCTCTCATCCTTTTACCCCTTTTTCCATTTTTCTTCCCCTGGTGCTACTTCTTTCCTGACTGCCTCCTTCCCAAGTGCATCAAGCACCGATGTTGTCCCAACACTTGCAGTCCCAGTGTCAATCAGATCACTGCTCAGACATCTTGGAATGAACGCACACTCTGGCCCCACTGTTTTTCTGATTTAACAGTGAACAAGCAAAGCTTTTGGTCTGTGGATCCAGTCCTAAGACATCCAGAGCTCTTCAGTCCATAGAGCTGCCTAACAAAAATGTCTCTGTAATGGAGTCTTTGGACACAGATGCTAAACAAACTCAGTGCCCACAATGTTTTATGTCTTCTTTACAGTCACAGTATCACAGCATTTGATTGAGGGTTTCCTCAAAACGTCAGTTCATGCAATCCTGTCTCATGACTTCTGTTGAGTTTGTCTTACGGCAGCATTTTCCTTCTCCACCTTTCAGATTTCATTTCTTAGCCTGTCTGTGTCAGCAATGTATTTAATAAAATTATTGCTGGAACGCACAGTACTGGAAAACCCTCCATCTAGCCAAGTGTATTACTGAGTTTAGTGCTGAAACTGCCTGAAGGCACTTCGTGGGGCTGATTTCTGCAAGAGTTTAGTGATGATACACTGCTCTACAGGGCATCCCATCTGAGTAAAGGGTTGGCAGAGCAACTTAAACTCCTGCACTGGTCTTACTCTCTCTCCTCCTTGCAGTCCCAAGGGGTCATTTGCTTCTCCACCTCACCCAGTGACCTCTCCCCATGAAACAGAGAGACCACAGAGGACAGATGGATGCAGACAGTCCTCCCTTATCGCTGGAGGACCACCTTCTTCTACCAAGAGTGCCTTTCAAAGACATTCTCCAAGGAGGACATTCCCCCCAGTGAAGGTCATGGTCAGAAAGTCCAGTCCTCCTGAGGAAAGTGAAACATTTTCAAAACCAGAAAGTACTATCAAGAAATGCCTTTTCCAGCAGCATGGCATGAATACTCCCATGGCCTAATTCTTACTGGCTATTCTTGCCAGGAACATGTCCCAGCAGATGTGAGCACGCTATGGCTGATGTGTTTTGGGAGAAGGGCGAGGCACAGGTCCCTGCCTAGCATGTGCAAGAGTGGGAGCTTTGGGTTTCCCCTTGGCAGCTCTGACTGAGACCTGTATGCTGCCTATGCACCCCTGCAGTCCCTGGGACAGAGCCCACCACTGTGCCTGGCAGGTAAGCTCTGGCAGAGGTCTGGCCCTGGGGAGTCCTGATGAAAGCCTTGAGGCCAGCCAGACCCACTGTGCCTTTCCTAAGTCCCTAGCTGAAGTACAAGGGCTGCTTGTCTGAGCACACAAATATCTGCCAAAGTCTCATGTTTGGTCTTCTTAACGTTATCTAAATTAACGTACATCACACAACCCATGCTGCTAAGGAAACAAATAAAAGAAATGTGGTTGCAGGGCAGTCGGCAGAGTGGGTGAAAGACCCACATGCCAATGACAAGAGCTGCTGTTCCTTCACTGGTCACACAGATAGACTTGTTTTAGCCCAGTCTGGTCACCAAGCAGATGGTGTCCCCATAGCTGATGTAACTCAGTGCACCTCTGCTCCAGAACCAACAGCAGCACCTATGGTCATGCCCTTGTTTCTCACTTCTTCAGCAAAGGCACTGGATGGCCACATCCCTTCCTGAACTCACAGAGAAGGTGCATACAGGAAGCCTCATCCAGGTTCTCACATGTGGTCCCAGGAATGGTAATGTCCTTTGCAGATTTGTCCAAGCAGTTGTGGGGTGCTCAGAAAGGTACAAACCCAAAGCAGTGCTTTGGAAGGTTACCTGTATAAACTGTCCATGCTGTTATTTGTCTTTAGTTAAAAATGGGTATGTATCAGTTATTAATTGCTGATAGATGAAAAGTAGGACTTATCTCACCAATAAGCTTGTCACAAAACTTACTTCTGGATTAGGGGCAAAATTTGAAAGACTCTGGCCAGAATCCCTGATGGGCTCTGTGAATATCCCACTGAAATGTCATTGAGCCAGTGGGACCTAAGTGTCTCTGTGGCTTTCGAGGATCAGAACACATCTGCCCTGGAAACTTGTAGGTGATGGCTGCACTTCCATAGCATAAGAAGATTCCACTGGAGTTGGAGAGAAAACTTCTCAGCACATCAGTGGCCACTGTGGACACCAGACATGCAGCACAAATGGTGAGGTGGGGAGACAGGAGAGACAATAGTGTTAACTCAGGAGCTGCCATTTCAGAGAAATGCTTGTACAGCTGGAAGCAGGTAAATACCTCCTTGAATGTTCATCCACAGGAATCAGTCTCAGGTTTGACACCAAAAACCCTTCTTCCACCTTGGGACACTCATGGGCAAGTGGCAATAGGACCCCTTAGCAGACCCTTTGTGGCTCCGGGTGGATGAGGATGGTTGGGCCAGAAGTAAGGAGGCTATGGCCAGATCTTCATCTCAACAGGACCAGGCAGCTTCTCCACTGCCTTCAGGAGGGAAGGGATGGAGTCATGCCCATCATCCTTATGTGATTGAGATTGTCTGCCCCTTGGCCTGGGGCGGGGGAAGGCTGTAGGGAGAGATCAGCAGTTCTCCTGACTCTGTAGAGCTGCCCTGATTGGTGTAGCTGCTTAGGGGATAATTTGCAGCCATTCTCCTCCCTTAGGTTAGTCCCCCACAAGCCACACATTGAAGGACATGTGACTATTAGTGCTCCTGCTCTGAGCAGGAGGGAAGAAATGTGGAATTAGCAGGGCAAAATTCCCCCCAGGCGTGTCTGGGCTACAGTGGCTGGAATCTGCGATGCCTTCACAGAAACACACAGACCCCCAAAACAAGCCCCTTCCCCTCTAGTTTGCCTTGGAAAGTGAGTGCAGCTGCCCTCACGCCCGGTACACCCCGCTAAGTACAATCCACTAAACAAAAATCATTACCATGGTACTTTTTCCCCTTCCGCTCAGGGTTTTCATGGCTGGGTTTTAGCACACAGTCTATTGTGATGTACATAAGGTGTCCGCTGCTATTTAGGAATTCCCTCCTGGAGGTCGCTTAACTTGAAGCCACCAATTTGTTTCAGGGCTATGATGGCAAATGAACATAAATGAATATTAAGCAGTAAAATATCACAAAATTACCCACATCTTTCAGTTGCCCATGTGTTTGATACCAGCATGTAGCATGATCTCACACAACTGTCAGATATGATGTTCTATACAGAAATAATATCAGCCCAAAATACAGCCACAATGAGTGTTAACCTGGTTCAAAGTTGCTTAAAGCTTACTGAGTTCTTTGAATCAGTGCACCTGTTTCAAAACACACTTTCAGATGTGTTTTGATTTTGTATTTTTACAATGTTGCTGCTTATGCTTAACCCACTCTTCTAGTAATACAAACAAGCAAGTAGCAAGTATTTACAGTGATGCTTGTGTAAAACTGAGCAAATTGATTTCTTTGCCTTGCCACAAAAAAAAACAAAAGAAAAAAAAAAAAAAAGAGAAGAAAATTGCCTTGAGTCTCATAGCATGTTTCAGTGTGCAGCAAGAGGAAGCGGCCCCAAGGGGAGCTGCTCACACCTCTTCCTTATCCCCAGATACAGCCATGGCACCCGCAGGCGATTAAAGCAGTAACCAGCCGGCTGCAAAGAACATGAAGCTACTGTGCACTTTTGAGCACACAGAGTTTCAGGAGAACCCCTTCCTCCCATTTCTCTGTTTGATTCGAGACTCAACCAGATTTAAGAATACAACAATGAGTTCACCAAGTTTAAAGAGCAAAATTTCAATGATAATGTTCCTAGTAGGTACTTTCTCCTTCCCTTGTGGTGCAGCTGGCGTGGTTGTAGCAGGGTGACTGGCCGCGGTTGTCCCAGGCGGTACCGTCAGCGCCAGTGCCGGGGCTCTGGCATCAGTGGCGGTCATAAGCAGTGGCAGTGGCTGGTGGGGCTGCCCCACGGGCCGCAGTGCTGTAGTAGTAGGGGGAGCCTGTGAGAGATGAGACCACCATGAGGAAGACAAAGGTGGAAAGGTGCCAGTTTGCAGCATTCTGACATGGGTGGCAGAGAGCTCTCCAGCCAGAGTTTCAATAAAGGCTGGGTAATTAGAATAAAAATCACATTCATGTATTCTGCATAAGAAGTGGGTACCGTTGCTTTGCATTGCTGCTGGCAGTTCAATACCTTCTTCCCTTCCTTCACTCAAAACATCAATTTCATTTACTTCACCAAAACAGTTAATCACTTTTTAGAATGAAAGGTCAAAATAATACAGCCCCAACCCACTACCACATTGTGACTTTTTTGATTTTCCCCCCTTCTTTCGGACAGGGGAAGAGGAGGTGGAGGAGGTTGAACCCCAAAGCATTCAACATATTTCACTGAAAGCACTCCTTTACTGAGAAAAGGCCTGAAAAATATTGGTAATGATTTTTTTCTGTCCTGCAAGGCTACAGAGTGGTAGATAGAGTGATCACTCAAGGATCACCAGGAACCTGGACTGTTTACTTGAAAGAGGAACAGTCTTTGACTTGTACTTGGAAAGACACCAATCTGTCCAGACAGCACCACTTGTTAAAAAACGTTCCAGGCACACCAGCAATGAAGCCAACTCTGCTCCATTCTAAGAGAGGAGCTGACTCCACCAGGAAAAGGTGGTGCCATAAGAGCTCAATAGGGCCTGTGGACCTCTCAGGAAAACATCAGTGGCAGTGAAGCCTAGGGTGTGTTTTTGGCTGTTTACTTCCCACCCCAGACTCTAGCAAACCCTGCTCCTGCAGGTCCAATGATTGCCCAGTCCCTGGGTGTAGTCTGAGTGTGGCAGCGCCCCAGTTGTTCCATCGCCATGACCCTGCACACCCTTTGGAGTAGGAAGGAGAAACCCAGTTGGCATGCCCTATGCTGTTGTTCACCTGCTCTCTGCTGAGCCAAGAGCCTCCACCTCTAGGAGGCTGGAGAACCTTTTGGCCTCTCCTCCTGCTGCACAGCCTCCAGATGAAGGCTTTGCTGTTCAGCCCAAAATGACCTGAGTGATTACTGCTGGTTCAAAAACCCAAACACAGAGTGTGAGTTGCACAGTCAGCCTCCAAGAGAAAGCTTATGCACGGTCACCATTAACCATTGGCAACATGCAGGGCTACCTCACTATTGTGGGTCCACCAGGATCCATCTAAAAGACAAGCCCACCTGTTCCTTCTAGTTTGCCACATCAGGCAGAGTGCCACTGTCCAGAGTGCCACATCAGGAAATCAGCTCAGTCTTCATCGCCAGCCTCCTGCTTCTCATTTCCAGGGGAGCATCTGCTATTGCACAGTATGTGCAATGCACTCCTTGGCACAGTCACAGCAAAGGAAACTTCTTTTTCGTGATCAGTGTCATACCACAGCATGTGATACTCTGCAGCTGCAACTCCAAGGGGTCAGAAACAAAGGGGTTTGGCTACTGGAACGTGGCTTCCGCACCAGTCAGTACTGTGGCAGAACAGGAGCTTGTATGCAGGGAGGCAGTCTGTGTTGTCCTCAGTATCATCTTTAGTGACCCAGACATTCACACTTAAAAATCAGACAAAGCCACCACAAAGGGATGGGTTCAAAAAGAGATAACCTGATCTTCAGGAGTGTCCTCCCACCTGACTAGGAAGACAGTTTTACCATGTCCAAGAATAGCTCGAAAGAGTCTGTGAAATCACTGGCCAGGATAAGCATTTGTAAAGTTGTCTGTATACAAACTCCTAGGCGGGAACCTAACCCATCTAGGTTTATTTACTAAAAGGTAAAAATTTTAAGCCATAGCCAATGGCATCAGAGCAGATCCATTCAGAGGGTCATCATCCCATTTATGCTTGCACAAGTGTAGAGCTGACATCCTTGTATTACCTGCTGAGGGCACCACAACAGCTAGCCTAGGCTGGACAGACAGTCCTCTTCCAGGTAACTGACACCAGGTTAATAAGCCCCTGACTCAGGAACTGTATTTCCTGGAGAGAATACTAGAAAGATTCAGAAAGACAGTGAATACCTTTCTCATTGGCAGTCTAAAATTAAATGCTGTATACTAAGTATCCCAGTCAAAATCAAGCCATTGAAAACATGGAAGCCTTCCTTGGTCAAATTGGCTAGTCTTGAATGAACAAAGGCAAGTGTAACAGTACACCAGACTTTGAAATGTGCATGTCCAGTCTAGCTGGGATTTTAGGGATGCTCGCTGTAGCAAGTGACCTGGGGGCTGCGCTCTCGGGGGTGCCAGTTTTCTGGCCCATGTCCATCCAATGATCCATGGGGATCATTTTGCACTGCAGGACAGGCGGTATCTTGAGACAAAACAACTCACAGGCCAGTGAAGGGTGGAAGTGCTCTCTTCACCTACCACATCACCACAAGGTCGATGTTGAGCAGCCAGTGGTGATCCCAGCAGAGACCCCAGTTCCCACCAGCACCAGAACCAGCACTGGCCATAACAGCTCAAATCAAGCAGAGGGGTGAAAAATCCAAAGGAGGGATCTAGCAGCAGCAAACAATTTCACCCTGACTCATTGAGCAGTGTCTGGGTCCCACCAGAGCTGGATGCAACACTTTAGGAGGTTATGGAGTAAATGGGGTCTTTTGGGAGTCAGGGCCTTCGTTTTCCCACTCCCTCTTCCTCCACTGCAGTTCTGATTCAATGCAGCTACCAAAGCCCAATATTTTTCCCATGCTTTACAAAGGTCTTACACTTCTCTCAAGTTAGATGTTTCCCGTTTGCCTTTCAGAAGTGCAATTGAAAAAGCTTGTATTTAAAGTGAAAAATGAAAGTATTCACTCTTCCTGTCACCATGCCCCCATCCAGAATAGACTTCTCCATCCTTCTGTCGTTTTTCCTTTCTAATTCATACTATCATCAATTTATCTCTTGACACAGTCATTTCTAGTGCCTGCTTGTTCTCCAATCTTTCCACAGAAACTCACAGAGGAATCGAATCCAATCCTAATTGACTAGCTCCAAGCTCTGCCTTTGCGAAGCACCATGCCAGCACTGGTAGCCAGAATGCCACAATGGTGCAGCCAAACCCACCCAACCAGTGCACAGGGACCACATCCGTGTTGGACATGGGACACCACATCAAGTAGAACATACAGCGAGCATCATTGAGCCAAATACTACAAGCCAGCACAAAACTGAACCGTTTTTCTTCATTAGACAGTGTTGCTGTTATCCACTCTTAGCACGCATGTGTTGAGCTGACCCTATGCTGGCAAGCACCAATCTGTGCTGACAGTGACAGTGTGAGCCCCAGAACTCAGGCACACGTGTTCATGTGCATCCCTGCACTGTACCACTTGCAAGCGATTCACTGCACAGTGTGGGGGAAAAATAAACAGGAAAAAGGGGCCTTCCCCTCATGTCTTTGTCTGGCTTTGAGATGGGTACACCTGCTACAGCCACCAAGCCAGACACCACATGAGTGACCAGGGTCTGTGTCCTCTTCCCAGCACATCCCCCTAAGAACTCAAGGTCTGTCGTCTCTCTTGCTATGGTCAAGGAAGGACTGAGCCAATCTCCACATAAAAGACTGTCGTGTCCCTGCCACACAAGAATGGTGTGGGTGCCACCAGGGCTGACAGCAGGACTCGAAGAGCAGGAAGATGCTGCAGAGCTGAAGCAAGCAACTGACTTCTTCTTCTGCCCCTGCTTCTCTTGACCACTCTGGAGGACTGTGGCTTGGTTTTCTGCCCTTCCCCAAGAGCAGTGGGGCACAGAACCTGGGATTGCCCCAGAGAGGAGGGAGAGCAGTCCCCCATCTGCAGCATTTCCCAAAACGGCTGGGGCAGACATGGCTTGGCTGCATGGTGCAGAGGAGTGGGGAGCACCAAAGCAAGAGCAGAGCAGGCACTGGGGTGATGGTGAGCAGCTGGTGCTCTTCTGGGTCCAGACAGCCTTTTCCCACTGTCTGCATGCCACAAGCATGGTTCTACCTTCCCATGAAGACACCACTTCACACCCCTCACTGCTGCTCCACACGCACAGGACAAAGATTAGAGACTAACAACCAAAGCTTTCTCACCATTCTCATCTCTCTCTCAGTTCCTATTCTCTTTACGCCCCCCAAAAAATAAAAAATAATTTTTCAGCCCAAGTATCCTTTCTTCCTACCACTTGCAAATCGTGGCATCTCTCCTTTTAGCTCCTTTTTCACAGGTCTCAGCCTGGTGTGATTGCTGCTGTGCAATTCTTCCTTGCCAGCCCAGGGAATTAATTGAACATAGGCACTGTTAAGTGCTTACAGTATTACACTTTCATCTCAGTGAAAGGAACAGGACTTTGTAAAACAAACTGTGTCAGGCAATGTACCAGTCCTGATTAATTTTGTCAGGGTTTCTGTTCTGAGGTTGATACTGCCAGAGCTTCCTCTCAGGAGAGAATTACTAAGTGCTCTCACGTATACTCCTGAGAGGAGTGGAAGCATCCTGGATATAGTGCAAATTAACCTCCTCTCCACTGCGGGTGCTCAGGCTCATCACATGGCACCTTCTGGGTGTGCAGGGCGACTTGGGGCAGCTTTTTAAAGCACTGCCAGAGAGTCCTACTTGCCCTGAATTACCAGTAGAATTAGCAGGCACTAGGAAGACAGGAGTGCAGGATCAGAATCAGGCTCCCAGTGACAAAGGCAGAGTTGTGGTTAAGAGGGATTTTTGCAAGGCACAAGAGATGTCTGACCCATAGCCTACGGCTGATTGTGGAGACATTGCTCAGATCATATCACTGTACTTAGACCTACCAGTGGTCAGGCAAGGGGATTCTCCCTCCAGGAACCTCCAGTTCACCCCATTTTGTGACCAGGCTGAACTGAAATGTTAAGTTAATCTTCAGGACTTGAAGCAGAACAAAAGTTCCCAATTTCTTTTTCTTTTTGATGCATCAAGACTTCCAGTCTCATAACTCCAAATCGAAGCGTCGTTAAACACTCAAAGCAATATAACCTTATCTGTACAATCACTGAGCCTGTGTTTACTGAAACAGAAGATTTTGAAAACGCCAAAAAAAGTATATCGAAGAGGGTAAAAAAGAGGAAGGCAAGATTATATATTTTAACAATTCGCAACAGCAAAAAATAAAATTAAACAAAAAAAAAATGAAACATTTCAATTTCAATAAAGCTGAAGTTTCTGAAAACAGGAGCATCCAAAGTTTTTTGCCCTTACCTCATTTAAACACAGATTCACAGCATGCTGCTGAGTAAATACTGCTGAAGAAATCCTTGCCAGCCTGAGACACAAGCATTGCTGCAAGGAGCATGCCATCCCCATAACTGTGCTCATATGGCAAAGATGAGATGGAATTTGCCCCCAAAATGCATCATGCAAAAAGGAAAAGAGAAAAAGAGAATGAATGGAGAAGAAAGGGAATGGCACAGGTAAAAGGTGTCCTGGCAGCAAGCAGCTGTCTCCTGGCCGGCCTCTGCTTTAAAGTCTTCTCCTGATCCAGACTTACGTATCTCCAACATATTCAGGGCACCATGGAGACCTACCCTGCCTGGCACCCTGGACAGCACACTCGGAGCTGATAAAAGACCATCACCTCAAATGAAGAGCTGAGCAGGTCATGGGCACAACCTGCTACTGATAGAGTCGAAAGGTTACTGTCCACCCCTGTGAGGCTGCACAGAGCTCAGGAATGGCTTTGAGATGGCTCCGGATGGTGCACACATCCTCCCCTGTGGTGGCGGACACCCACAGGCAGGAGCACAGTGCACAGCTAAGGTACCCCTCCAAAAGCCCTGTCTTCACGAAGAAGGGCAGGGTTAGGGCTGGGTTGTCATTTATTTTTAGTGTCATGCCTGGTTTTTTGCTGGTTTGCAAGCAAAATTTAGAAAGTCACCTACAACCAGGCTTCCTAGGCCCATCCATGATGCAAAGCATTGCTGAAGCAGTTCTTTTGCTTCCAAAGGAGTTGCAAAATGAGATGTGAAGAAAGCATGGTGTATGCTCTTCCTCCTGGCAAAAGCATCTTTCCCACGCAGTCCAGCCAAAATCCCACCAGCGCTACTGGCTGTGGCCATGGAAACTGTGAGTTTGAGCACAGGGACTCCCCTGGCTTTGTGCAGCTATGCCCATCCATATTAGCTGGAGATCTGTCTGCTGATTTATGATGGAAGCGCTAACAAACCCTTAAATGTGGCACAGCAAATAGCAGCATTATACCAGCACCATGGCATGAGAGGCAGAGGCAGTCTATGGTTCCCCAAGGATTTGTTTAAGGACAAGAACAATGATGAATACAGCCTGGGTGGTTCAATTACATGGGGACTCAATTACTTAAAACAAAGAAACTGGACTAAAAAAGTATGACAAAAATTCAGAATTATTTCGCTGCTGGAGGTCACATATAACAGCCCTGTCATCCATAAATCTGGAAATCTCTAAGGCATGCTAGTCCTCTGTTGAGAGACGACAATTAATTGGTATTTTACTTACCTCATCCATGCAAATTATGCAGGGAAAAATTCTAATTACTGCATGCTACATGTATATAAGGTCAAGGGGGGCCAGCTTTTGACAGTGGTGTAAAATGGATTATGTTTATCCTTCACATGAGGGCCATGATCCTGCATGAGCTACAGGGCTTCTGTCTCCCATCGCTTGTGCTGGCATCAGCAAGGCTGCACGGGCATAGTAGTCCCTTGCTAAGGAGGGATGGAGTGGGCAAACACACAATTGGGGCACCAATGCAACATGAGGTCAGGGAGAGATGCAAAGCACTTGCATGAGCAAGCAGCAATGGCATGGGGACTGATGGGGCTTACATCTGGCTGTAAGCAAACTGGTACCTCAAGTTTTGTCTGAACAGGATCCCTTACCCTCAACAAAATGCAGATCATGCTTTCTGGCAACATCCCATGTCTCTGGAAGGATTTTATCAGGCAGAAGCAGGATGATGAGAGGTTTGGCTGGGGCTTTTTCTTGGCAAAGTGAATCAAGAATAATTATGCACCCCAAAGAAGACCTGCAGTCTCATGCATGGGCTGAGCATAGGGACTGAGGACCAGGTCAGTACACATGTTCTGCCCACCCCAGGGGTGGAAAAACACTACACACATTGCTCTGAGCTCTCAAGGCGGGGGTAGCCACTTACCCAGGAGTCCAGGGTTGGGAAACCTCCAGGAGTCGTTGTATGTTGAATACTGCGGGTGGCTGTACGGGGTCCCAGAAAACTCACTCCCTGAGTTAAAGAGACAGAACAAAATATTATTTGATTTGAGATGACAGTTACAATTCTGAGAGAAAGGAGCTCTTCAGCGCGCACTGTGCTCCAGTGATAGTCACAGTAAAAGCACTGCAGGACACCTTGAGGGAGGGCAATATGGGTGGGCAAATTATTAAGTAAATGAGTGCAGTCATCTTTTAGGCATCCTTTCCGTGCTGTAGCTCAGGCCTGCTAAGCTAGTGGGACTTTTTCAGGCAGCCCATGCTGAGGAACAAGGCAATGAGGAGGGATGGAGAGGCCTCTGGGACACACTGGTGGGGCTGGTCCTTGCCTCTATGGCCCAAGAGCACTCAGAGCAAGAAACGCAATACAAGGACAGGGCTGCTCAGATAGGGTCTCTACTGCAGGACAAGATGAACCAGCCAGTTTTCTAGATACTGGGTACCCTTCCAGGAGAACATGGTCACGGTCCCAGCTATTTGTCCAACACTGTAAGCCAAGGAGAAGGATGTTTGCATCAGTTTCAGACATCTTGAACCTCCTAGACAAAGGCAGAAAAAATGCTTGAAGAGCTATTTATCTCCTTGCCAGCACCCGCTCTCCCCATCTGTTTGTTCTCTTCACATGTCACCTCCTGCTTTGTACTTCAGCTCCAAGTTATTCAGTACAGAGCTTTGCACCATGGGGCTCTGACCCAGGCCCTCCACCATGCAAATACCAACACTGCTGCTGCTTTACTAGGAAATTTTCTTCAAATGACAGATTTCCACTCTCCTCTATCTCTTTCTTCCTCCTTTCCTTCTCTCTCTCCCACACATAAATATATACACGCACAGTGCAGCATGGCAGGAGAAAGGATAGGTTTCCTAAACCAAGAGGAGGGGGCTGCCACCCTGCAGCAGAAGATGCTCACCATGATTTTTGCCTGCTCTGGTCCTTGGTGCTGGTGCAGCCCCCATGCCGTACACAGGAGCTGCCTTTACCCCAGCTGTGCAGGAGACCCCTGATACCATGTCCTGAGCACCCAAGGCTCAGCACCCCTGCCCAGCACAACTGACAGACCCACCCTGGAGAACACTCCTGGGTCCCCAGGTCAGTAAGAGGCCTTCTCTCTCAGGACACAGTTTAGGCAAGTTGCTGGCCTGCTGGCTCCAGGAGAGAGGGGATGATGCTCTGGTCACCAAAATATAGGGTCAGATCTAGATCAGCCTGGTCTCCACATGATGCTGCTTCAGTGAAAATGAGTTGCCTCTCCATCTGCACCGCAAGGTGAACACACTGAGTGTGCTGACAGCAGGACCTGCCCATCACTGGTCTGCTCCAGGAGGTCTCTGTTAGCATCCCTTTCTTGTTTCTCACTGCCCTTCAGACCCATGGTATTGCATCTACCAGCCTCAGCCTGCTCTCTCCCCCTGACACAGCATCCACAGAGAGGAGGTCCCAAGTCAGCAACAGCAAGTGCTTCCACACTCAGTGTACCTTGCTGTGCCAACCACATCACTTCACAAGCTCAGAGAGGTTTTCTTTAGTGCCTCTAAGGAATGGTATTAATTCACCATGAGCCAGGAAAAATGAAGCTGTTTTCAGACCTTTCTTCACAGTGAAGTACACCATACCTATAATTCCTCTCCGCTCTTGACCCAATGGATGATAGACGACTTCAGCGCCTGAATGTTACCTCCATCACTATGCTCACTCTAAAAGACTGAGGCATGGCAAAGCTGGCAATGCCAGAAGATATGTCAGGAGCCACCTGATGTACCTGGGCCACTGGTAAAAGCATCTGCATTGCCTTCTGCAAGTTAGGAATCCAGCTCTCTCCCACAGGACACAGAAGCTTCTCTCTGGTCCTTTCTGCCTCTGCACCACCACAGCTGAGACTGTTGTCTCACCCAGAGCCCTCCCTGCTTGCCTCTTCCCCACAAAGCCTCTCAGCTTCCAGCAGGTTTCTGGTCCAGCTTAGTCTTTCTGGTGTTTGCCCAAGCCTGCAAAGCACATGGGCAGCAATAGGTCTGGGAATTTCACTTGTGACTGTCATGATGTTTCCCAGTCCTTGAAGACTCACAGCCAGATCCTCCTGTCAGTGTGTAGCACACACAAATCCCTTCATCCTGTGGGTGTCTCTTCTACAGGGAGGAGATCACACAGCACTTTCTCCAGGGGTTTCATTTCTTCCTTTCCACAGGGAAGTGAGAAATTCAAAGATTTAGCCCTTTTTAGTTGCACAGAACAATTCGGCTGCCTGACCAACATGACATGTGAAAGCCGATGGGAGAGACTCTTGCTGCCACATCCTCCCCTGGAGCTGCACAGTGCATGGACAGAGGGACAGGACAGACAGGACAGCAGGACAGATCATGATCCCTGCTGCAGGTTTTTTGCACAGGGTGCAGAGAAGAGCCTGTCCTGTCCTTTGTGCACCAGGAGCACCCAGGCTTCAAATGAAGCTCACAATGAACTGTCATATGCCTGCAAGAGCTGTGTCCCAAGGGGGAGCATGCTCCCCTTGGACAACCCCTCATTTTCAGCTGTCCCACCGCCCTCTTTTCCTCCCTCTTTCTCTCCCTCCCTTCCCTTCACACCCATTACTCCTCTCTCCTGTTCTCCCAGGGCTGCACAGACCCAGTCTTTCCCATGTTGATGCTGTGCATGCCACGGAGCAGGCAGCAGTGCTTTCCAAATGTTCATCGGTGCTGCAGCAGGGCTGCGGGTGGGAATGGGCTGACACTTCATTGTTTCATCCTCTCCTGCCTTGCTCTCCTCCCCCACCATCCCCACTGCCCTCCTCCCCACACTCGCACACAGACACACATCGTGGACCCTCTCTGGGGGATGCTCCAGTGCCTGTCAGGCTGAGGCTTCCAATTCTCTGTTTTTTATGCCTCAGTGGTCAGGGTGTCAAGCTCCTGCAGTACAGACCAGCCAGGAGCTCGAGGAGTCACTGAGCACCATCAGCTCAGTGACAGTGTTGCTTGCTTCTTAACATACTCTGCATATCCATCAGCCTTGCAGGGGGGAAAAAGAGAAAGAGAGGGAGGGAGAGAGTGCGTGCGTGAGAGAGAGACAGAGAGAGAGTAGGACAGGAAGGAAAACTAGAGGAAATAAACATGAGAGAGGGGAGAGGAAAAGGAGAAGTGGGGAGAAAGTCTCAAGCCCTGCTATTATGACCGCAGCACTTGGGCAGACATAAGTGAAACTAAGATAGATGAATGAACACTGCATGACTGCCTCATGAATTCCACCAGCTATTCTAAGGTCCATCAGCTATACTTCTTGACAGCAGTTTTTACCGGCCAGCCCTTGTCCTATTCAAAAACAAACACCACAGATCAGCCACCCAGGGGCGCACACACATGCAGCGCATTGCGCACATGAGAATGATGCGTGCCTGCACCACGAGGAAGGGGTGGCAATTGGACACATCCCTCCTTCACATGAAATGGTAAGCCCCCTCCTCAATAGTTCTTACCTTGCTGAGACACAAAGACACAAACAAAGGGGTCCTGCCAGAGTTAGCCCACCTCTTGCCACAGACCAGGCTCCACACTGCCATGGAAAGGGGTCAGACCTTTCCACCACCCTGCCCCACCGAGGGAGAGGTACAGTGAAAGAAGGAAAAAAGAATGATTCCCAGTAACACTGTTGCTACAAGCCAGTGGCAAGACCTTGGAGATACATTCCACTTTGAGATGGTGGGACAGAGATATAGACCCCTTGCCTACAGGGTTAGCTCAGGTGGCTACAGGTAGTCTGATGGTGGTGGATGGACCTTCAGCTGCAAAACTGTCCATTCTGCAGCATTTTCTCTTGGAATTATCAACTCACATTTACCAGTCTGCTTGACTTTAAGGTAAGCTTCCTGCAAGTTTCCTTTGTAATTTTCAGGGAAACTGAAAAGCGTGAGCATAAAAATCTCCAGAACCAAGAGGTGAAGGAGGACGTCTTTTACACTGCTGTGGCTTTAGAGAACTGCTTCTGTAGGAAATGGGGAAGATGCAGGCACATTCATGCACTGGTACTGGATGTGGGGCAGAAAGGTGATGGAAAACTTCCTGCTCAGTGGAAAGGCGGGAGGATGGGCAGATGCTCAAAGCAGGGCCAGCTCAGACAGAGGCCATGTTCATTCAAGGTGTGGAAACTTCCTAGACCAGAGAAAGCCTGACCACTGTCACTGCACTAGCCCTGTTCACTGTGCAGAGTACCCAGCTGCAGTCCTTTGAGATAGCACAGCAGTCATGAGTGTGTCCCTTAGCCTGGTCTCCTTGAGACTGTGTGACAATACCAGCAGAAAACAGCAGCCTAGTCAAACATGGAACAGGCTTGTTGTCCAGCTGCTGGTAGCTTTGGACTGAAATGCAATTGGAGCAAACACTCAGCAAAGAAGTTCCATATGCCACTTCCAAGTATGCCACTGAAGTCTCAGAAGACCCCACAAATCAAAAGCTCCAGAGCTACTACAGCTCAACCAGAGCCAGCTGCGTGCAGACACACATGTTTGGACACTTTTTGCTGCATTTTCTCAGATATCAGGTTTTTGCATGTGTATTTGCAAGAGGGAGAAACCATCAGGAACATGGGGGTGGATGATTGTTACCCATGTGATGGCTACTGGTAATACAATATGCAGGTGGTTCAAGGTGATACAATGTGCCTTCCTCCCTGCCACAGCCATGTGATGGCTCCCAGTTGTCACCCACCAGGGGGAGTGACCACAACTCCGTGCCTGCGCTGTCCCTCCTGCCACACCTGTTACTGCCAGTGGTTGCTCAAGCAATTCCCACTACTGGGCCTTTTTGTTAATTAAGCTCTAGGTTTAGGACAACGCCTTATGCAGCTCTTCTATTTGACAGGAAATTAGGACAAATCAGAAAAAATGGTGTTCAATAAACACAGCTGCTTAAGTTAACAAGAATAGAAGGCTGGGGGACAAAACTCAGAGCCAAGCCAGGAACAGCACCCTTTTTTGGGGTTCTGGTAAGTTTAGAAAGAAACTGCCGTATTTTTCCCTAAATTGG